ATATATTATTTGGTTTTTAGGGTTTATGGAAGCAAAATAACAAAGCAATAAGTAAAGTTAGATAGTTCAATCAAGATAAAAGATCAAGCAATTCTCAAGACATATGCAAGACACAAGCAAACGATTTAAGGTTTTTAATGCTAGTTGTTCTAGAACTCAAATCACTAAGGTAAAATCATACCACTGTCGTGGATCAAACTTCTATATCTTCTTCTCTAATAGACTCAACTATCGTATGGTTATTACAAGGTGAAGACACGCGTAAAGTGTAAGATTCGATTGTTCACTAAACTTCTTAACTAACATATCGAATTGTTAAGACGTTTAGCTCATCAAATACTAGGTCCGAAGATATAACAAGCTTTTGGAGAGTATATCAACCTAATATCAGTCACTGGGTAGCTAAGCCAGATCATGCTTTGAAATAAATAAAGATGAAGAATCAATTCTAAAATAAAACCTTAAACGTTCAATTATGTGATAACATAGAAATAAGAAAGTGCATATAAATCAAATCAAGGCTAATACTCTACATATTTTGCAACAAGGAGCAGCAAGAGTAAAGCAAATAAACATAGTATAAATCGTTAATCTACAAAGCGTAAGGGATTAGATCTCATCTCTTTGCAATAGGGCAAAGTCGAACTACCCTTAAAGGCTTTTAGAATCAAAGATGCATTAAGAACAAGAGATAAACGAAATACATGTTTAGGTATTGATTTTGGCTGTTTGGGCTGGCTTCTCTTACTTCCTAGAGAGGCTAAAAGCAAGTATATATAGGGGTTTAAGAGGTCCTAAGTCGGCTAGGGTTATCTTCGGGCAAAAGAGTCTTTTACGTCGAAACTGCTCAACCACGGGTCCAAGCAACGGTCGGCCTGCGTGACCGGTGTTGAGGTCTTCCTTGAGGCTTCTAGAACGTCAGAAATGGCCTGGATCATCGGCCCACGGATCGGCCCGGTGCTTGGCTCATTTTGCACATGCTTCACTTCTAAGGCAGTTTGACATGTCTTCAGTGTTTCCAGTGCATATTCTAAAGTACAGCTCCAAATGGTGTCGTTCAAAGTTCATTGGAAAGATAACTCCAAGGGCTATCTTTCCACTAAGTTTCATTAGATTCTAAGGTGATTTGGTCCTCCGTTTCTCAGTGAATGTCTGGCATATATGTTCTGTCCAACTTGCGAATATGCTTTATCTTTAAGATATAATGACTTGGCTTGGCTCCTTTGACTTGAATAAGTAGTTGTATCATAGATAACACTCTTTTTGGTCCTTCTTGCATCCTTTTTATGATTAAACCTATTAAGATCTTTAAATCCACATATACGAGAAAATTATCTTTTGGTCGAAAGACTTTATTAAAGTATATAAAAACATAGTAAAATAGATAGTAAAAGTGGTAAAATATAGGGTATATCACATTCGATAAAAGTAATAGTTCATGAAATCTTTGATTTCCTACAGCCTAACAAATAAAACTACCCGGAAATCATAAAGAACAGCAAGAAAAGAGATAAATAAGTAATCATATTCATAGAAATAAATATAGACAAGGAGGGTTAAGAACTATTTTTTTTATATCGAAGATACAAAGGTTGGATATTTTCCTTGAATCCAAAAGCTCTATGAATAATCTATAAAAACGTAGCTGCTGTTTATTGTAGAGTAAATGGGTGAATTTCTTGGTGGCTTCTACCTAACAAGAGACTAAAAACAAATATATATAGGTCTAGGGTATGATATGGTTAAATGTAACGCAAAAATAGTCAAATTGGTCGATCGAAATTGTCCAAATAACGACGAAGTACCGATCATGTTTTTCGACTGATATTTGACTCAAAATGACCTTTAATGAAGCTCTCCCCAAAAACGGTCTTTTTCGACCTGAACTATTTGCGTCGTGCTCTTTGATACCCGAATTTTAACACTTGGCTTATTTTATCCCGAACTAAAACAAAATTCAAATTTTCAACCTGAACTAGTATCTTTTGTGCAAAAAATGACATTGGCCTTAACGGGGTTAGTCAAAGTTAACCGTTTGCTGAGTTGGACGATACGCTGGGAAGCTAATTGATTACGTGTACGGTATACCAAAATAC